CGGGGAGACCCTGGGCCAGGTTGCCCAGAGAAGCTGTGGATGCTCCATCCCTGGAGGGGTTCAAGGCCAGGCTGGATGAGGCTTTGGGCAACCTGGGCTAGTGGGAGGTGTCTCTAAGGTCCCTTCCAGCCCAACCCATCCCATGATTCTACGATCTTTGGCCCCAGAGGTTTTCCAGACAGACCTGCAGGCACCTGAGATCCAACCCAGCTGGATTCAAAGTGAAAAGCTTTAGAAAACCCAACACAAACCCCCCCAAGACGTGCTTACCTGCGTCACGTTGGTGACGAAGAAGGGCAGCCAAGCCACGAAGAACATGCCCAGGAGGATGCCCAGCGTCAGGCTGGCCTTCAGCGCCTTCTTGCTGTGCTTGTTGGTGAACCTCCGGCTCTCGCTGCCGGCCGCGGGCTGGCTTGGGGCGCGGGGGACCTGTGGTGGGAGACAGGGCCGTGAGTGAGCTCTTCTCCCTGGGACAGAGCCGCCGGGGGGTCAGGACCTCCAAGGGGGTCAGCAGAACCTGGGTGGTTGGAGGACAGAGGGACCAGGATTTCCAGGAGGTTCAGGATCAAGATTTCCAGGGGGTTCAGGACCAGGATCTCCAGGGAGCTCAGGACCAGGATCTCCAGAGGGCTCAGGACCAGGAGCTCCAGGGGGTTCAGGAGAGGGAAGGGGCACTCAGTGCAGCAAATCCTGCAAACCCCCCGCTGATATTCCCCTTCTCGCAAGGGGATGATGGCACACACACCCCAGCCCCCAAACCACAGATCAGGAAGAGGGAGCAATAGAAACCCTCGACATTGAAAGGATTCTACTTTTTTAGGGTAAAATAGGAGCTTTATCATTAAGATGTTTCTTTTATAGAAAAATCCAACGCAGTCAATGTTTTGGATCAAGCATGCCCTGAAGAGGCAGCTCTGGCTGCTGATTAGAGCAGCAAACTAATTATATTTTTAAAGCAGGATGTCGAACATAGCCTACAAACGGTGTAACTAACTCACTCCTCCAGCCACTCTAACAATCTAAAATTCTGTTATTATCTCAGCCCTCTGCCTGAATTAAATGAGGCCCTGCTGGCACTCATCTTCCTGCCCCAAAAAGAACAAAAATCCAGTTAAAAAGATGAAACTTGAGGCTGACACCTTGTTTTCAGCTCACCCCCCGCCTGAGCTGATTCAGGGCTCCCAGGAACGTGCTGGGACACTGGTCTGTGCTGGAATACGGGGGGTGGGGGCTGGTTTTCCCGGCAGAGCAAAGCACCTGAGCATCCTCAGGTCCCCTGAGCATCCCCCTGTCCCCTGAGCATCCTCCTGTCCCCTGAGCATCCCCCTGATCCCCTGAGCATCCCCAGGTCCCCTGAGCATCCCCCTGTCCCCTGAGCATCCCCTGGTCCCCTGAGCATCCCCCTGATCCCCAGAGCATCCCCAGGTCCCCTGAGCATCCCCCTGTCCCCTGAGCATCCCCCCAGCTGCACCGGGGCTGTGGGGCTGCGGCAGGTTGTGTCTGTAGAGCCCCAAACCCTGGCATCTGGGGGGAAAATAAATATTTTATGATCTTGTCTGTTTATTCTTTGATTCTTATTTTCCTTTCGAAAGGCCAGTACACCTTCCCACATCCTGGCTCCTTTCTTAAAAGCGAGAGAAGAACAAACTAAATCAAGGTATTTAAAGGCAATTAAGTTTGTCTTTCCCTGTAGGAGATGAGGTCAATAAAGCCCATTACGGGGAATTGAAGCTGTTAGATTTAGTGGCAATTACCTTCTCCTGAGAAATACAAACAAGCGCAGCCACGTTTTGGTTATAAAAACCACACGCACCCGCTCAACCGGCAGCCGAGTGAGGAGGAATTTTGCCGGGTAACAAAAATAGAAGCCGGTTGTTGGAAATAAGGTGCTCTCCAGAAGGTGGAATTATTGAAACTCCTTCTCCCCCATATGTCTCACGCCCACCACGGCCAAGATTTCCAAGCGGAAAGTCAAAGAAGATGAGAGCCCCCCGGGATGACGCTCACCAAGAGCGGGGCAAAACGCCGTGGATTTTACACTGCCGAGCATTTTCGCCTCTTAATTTATTTCTTTGCTTCTGCTCACGCTGCTGCTGTGCTCCTGAGCTGCTTAAAAACTCGCTGTGGCTGGGACAGGACACAGGGAACCTCCGGGGACATCGGTGAGGTGGATGTTGCCCAAAATCTCCCTCCCTGTGGTCTGGTTGCCAAAGCCACCTCCAGCCCCAAGACCATCCCAAAGGACCTAAACCATGGGGGTCCCCAAGGAGCAAGGTCACCGTGGCCACCTTACCTGCGGCATGGGCTCGTCGGCGGTGGCGGTGACCACGTTGGAGGCGAGGGAAGCCACCTGCACCGCTTGCTTGCGGGCTGCCAGGAGGATGCGGCAGTAGGTGAAGGAGATGGCGGCGGACGGGAGGAAGAACGTCAAGCAGGAGGCCACCAAGGCGTAGGGCAAGCTGACCACCAGCCGGCACTGCTCCTCGTCCCGCCAGGAGGTGACATTTGGGGACCAGACCTCGAATTCCAGTTCGTGCCAACCCATTTTGATGGGTAGGAAGGAGGCGAGCGCGGCCAAGGTCCAGGTGGCCAGGATGAGGCCGAAGGCTCTGCAGGAGGTCATGCGCAGCTTGTATTTGAGGGGGGAGATAATGAGCAGGTAGCGGTCCAGGCTGATGACGCAGAGGTTGAGGATGGAAGCGCTGCAGCACATGACGTCAAAGGAATACCAGAGGGAGCAGAAGTCACCCCGCAGCACCCAGCGCCCGTAGAGCTGGTTGAGCATGGCGGGGGGCATGACCACCAGCCCCACCATCAGGTCCGACATGAAGAGGGACACCAAGAAGTAGTTGGAGGTGTTGCGGAGGGAGCGTTGGGTGACAATAAGGAGGATGAGGAGGAAATTCCCCGCCGTGGTCAGGAGGATGATGAAGGAAAGGAAAGCGGCCACCCAGCTGCTCCCCACCAGCAGCGAGCGCTCCCCCAGCACGCTGGCATTGGGGGTCCCCAAATCACCCTCCATGAGGAGCGGGGTGGCAGGGCTGGCTCTGGAGCTGGGGGGACGTTCTCCAGCCCTAGGTGATCATCGCCACAGCCAGCTCCAGGGGATGAAGCATCTTCTCTCTGTCTGCTCTCTGTGTCTGTCCTCTTTCCCCCTCTCCTCCTCCCCTCCCTCGCTTCCCCCCCCTC